TTTAGTCTAAAAGTTGACTTTAAGAAGAGTGCATGAAGTTGTGAAAATCGGAGTGGATGCACTGAGACTATTTTAATGGGCACATTTAGCAATATTTATCACTAAGTAACTGGAAGATTAGACGACGGACGTGCCATTGTTTATGGTACACAGTGGAGTACTTATTGACAAGAGCACATCCTGTATATCGTTTCATTTGAAGATTCTTCTCAAACAATAATGTTTGTTTCTGTTTCCCTAAATCTTACTTCCTTTTATCATTTTTACAATAAAAGTTCATTTCAGACTGATCATTTGGGTTCAGTCCTTTTACAATAGCAATAGTGACAAAGTGACACTTAGATATAAGGTATTCAGGGAAGAGATACTAGCAGCAGTATTAGAATTAGTTGGGAATATTTAGTACAAAAGAGAGGCCAAATCATGCTTCCATAATCAAACTTCGGCATCACTATACTTTACCTAGTTTTTTAGTGCGAGAGATTAATAAAATGTAAATTTGAAATTATTATACTCACAAAACTCATAGGATATATATCGTAAAGTGCAGATAAATTCCAAATATAGTTGTCAGTATTTTAATTTCTAAGACCTGCACACTTCAAATCGTTCCAACAGTACTTTGCATAGAAAGACGAGTGTGGTTAATCAAAGTAATATGACATCGGAGCTTATTATATACTTATTAGAAAAGCAGCCCGAAACCGGTTTGCAACTGTACATTCCAGTCGCTCAATTGATTTTTTAATATGATGAATATTTTTTGGCCGACGCAAAAATCAGCTGTCACTCAGCTGATTTACAGTTTCAAAGCGGTCTCTGACTTTGTTTAGAACAAAGCTTATATATATAGTTATAAGGAACGGTAGATAATTCAGAAAATTAATATTCTAAGATCAAGTAAATAACAATCTATATAGAAGTAAGAATAATATGAAAGTAGAACATAATGTTTTTCCTGCTAAGTTTTACGAACTGTCTAACCACTCTCAAGTATCGTCGTCGCCAGCAGAAAATTTCGCTTTCCTCTATCAACCTCAAACTTCAACTACCCGGCTGTCAACCTGCCACGTTCTTTTTGTGTGGTTTGCATTTGCATTTTTAAGATCTTACTATTCTTAAATTTTTGAAATATGTTTCTTCATTGTTAATTTTGTATAAAATACAGGGACAAGATCATCTTTGTGAAAACTGACTTGGTAGTTAAATTACGTTACTTTAATTACTTAATTTACATTTAATAAAAAGTGATCTTTTGTATAAGTAAATGACATAGATTTAAACTTTTTGACGAATTATTTTTTAATTACTTCAATTTGCTTTTTATTCACATCATATTTTATTAACCAAATAATCATTACCAGTTTCCATTTTTCTGTATATTTTCGTCTCATCCGCGTTGTTCTATGTCATTTATGAATAACAGAAATAACACTTTTGCTACCATTAAATTTTGAAGTTAAAATAGTTTCGAAAATAGATGGGGCGATAACTCTTTAGGTCAATTTTTGAACCTGACTTAAAAATTGAGTCCATTCGAGCTACTGTTAACTTCTTAGGGATACACCATTGTTAGATCATGGATATTTCAGGTTATTAAAAAAGAGGTGACATAAATGGCGTTGGATTTTTTCGCGTCATCAATAATACTTTAAGTTCCACCGACGTTGAACAAACGTAACAAGTGCCATTGAAATGAATTTATCCATTCTGTTACCGGAGGAATATGCATTCGCAGCGGACTTGATTGTGCGCGTCACCTGTGTTCGTGTCATTTCAAATTGAAATATTTCGCGGCGCGGCTTCGTTTAAAATTTTAACGTTTTTGAAACACGCCAAACGTGTGCATTTGTATCTGATATCAGCATTACTTAATTACTACTTAATTAATACAGACAGTGTCCCACTTAAGGTATCAGATACCTCAAGAACAATTTATGTGACTTACAACTACATCTTTAGCTATTCCAACGTTTCATTTGGTTGTCATTTGGGTTACTTTTAAGTAAGAAGTAAGAAGTGAATATTACAAAAATGAGTTTCTCAGAAAAACGGATTTTAAAATTTGAACACAACATTTGAAAATTTATTTGGCCTAAATATTTTCTCCTCAATACCTAGTAAAAAATTTTTTTATCGCAATTACTGAGTGCAGAGGTATATTTTTGTATTCACAAAGAAAGGATTTGGAGTTATACCACACAGATTAGGGTGGGAAAATGGAATATTTTATTATAAACAATGTGCTCGTAATGCATTTAATCAAATGAAAAAGTATACATTTTAATTTTAAGTATAGTATCAATAAAAATTCAAATTCTTAATAAACGAACCTGCCCTAACCACAACCATATAAGTATAAATTTTGGGACAACCTATAAATGCACAACGTATTGTATTATCCCAAAAAAACATACATACGTCGAAAGTCAAAAATTTAACATTAGCGTTTCAAATTTCACTTCCGAAACGTCTTCATCATCTTGCTGGTATTAACACTTTATCGGATTTTTGTAGCAAGCTAGCACATTTTCCCGCCATTATCTTAATATGTTTCGACCACCCTTCGAACGCAGCTCAATATATATGCGACTGTGGACGTCGATCCTTCATATAAATCAAAGTAATTCAAACGGCTTCTACCCTAACCATGGTTGTCAGTAAATTTTCTTCGAGAGGATATTTCACTCGGGAATTTGTTTAAAAAGTCGACGCCCTATAAACATTAAGAAGATATTATTACAGATAAATCTGATTCGCTATCATTTGGAATGTGAAAATACCCAGAAAAGGTAACCCTAATCCAAGGCTAAAATGTTTGATTTTTGATATGTTATAATATTTAACAAATATTCTTCTGGCAATAACTCAAGAGCGAATATCAAACTACGGTTTTGCATTTTATTTGATCTACTTTTAACAAAATTACATCGTATGATTTTATGTGCAATTACTCTGGATTCCTTCAGCGTCGCTTGTTGATAAATCGAACTTGCTGACGTTTCGTCAATCATGGTGTTGGCTTCTCCAGAGCTTAACTGAAACTGAATTTCAAATAATTTCATCTTTACGTGGGGGATGATATGTGAGCAAGGATGAAGTTGCAAAAGAGTTTGATGGTTTCATTTGTCTTGAGATTAATTCTTCAAACTTTTGAGTGGCTGGATGATAAGCGTAGATTTTAGTTATGAATCATATTCGAAGGGGTAATGCACTGGGATGGGGAAAAGACGGAAGCCATTTAAATAAATAAGTAAGTAAGCAAAACTTAATCTACTAACAATTTTAAAAGAAAGGGTTTTGATATGATGCAATATTTTATGAAAATTAGCAATAACCTTATAAGTGAGCTTGTAAGTTTCTACTTTCGCGCTTGATGTCCCCTAAATAAGGGCTTGTTATTTTTTTTAGTTTTAGCTGAGCTCTGAAGAATCCAATAGGATGATAGGCGAAAGTTCAGCTGGTTCGATTTATTAACAAACGACGCAGAAGATTTGTTAATAGTATTAAAGTAACATGTGGAAGTTTACTTAAAAAAAAAATACATTTAATGATTTAAGTTTTCGAGACAAAATAAAAAAAGTATGGAATATAAATGATTTAAGGTGAAAATACTACTACTCCCCAACTTAAGAAACATATTAAAATCAAAACATTATTTATGTTATTATTATTATTATTATTATTATTATTATTATTTTTATTTTATTATATTTATATTAATAGGGGTTGCTCTTTATAGTGTGCAACATATTCAAAAAATTAAGGCAAACTTTAAACTATTAAAATCATTGGTTTGTGATAAACATCTTGCATATAATTATATAAAATTTATAAATAGTTTTGGCAAATTCCCGAATATTGATGGTGAAGATATCCAAGGGTTGTTCCCAACGTCAAAACCGAGTGGTGGTAGTTTTTAACTTCAACAAAATAAGCGCCCCCTAATCTACACCAAAAATGAGAATGCTAAAGAAACAAATACTCTTCTTAATATTCTGCATTTAAATTGGATTAACGCATTACCTACCTGACTTTATCGCAGACGCGGCGAGATAACGACAAAAACAAAATCATCAAAGCCACATCGTTACAATATATAGGTGATTCAGAAAATCAAAAATCACTAGAGAATCATCGTCACATTCACAAGTTTCATCGCCAATGTTCCCATTTTGTTCCACTCAAATATCCGACTGCTAATTAAAAATCCTTTATAATAGCTCCGGACAACTCCAACAACAACATAACAACGCAACAAAATATCAGAAGAAAACACATCACACAGAACATCTACTATAAATTAAGAAGCTTGCATCAAAGCAAAGAATGACTGCAATGACTCAAGTTTTAGACTTCGCTACGCGATGAAACTGAATAACTTCAACTACTGCAGTCCGGTTTCTTTCCACTCTTGCATCGAGATCGGAGTACCTTGCACAGGATTCAAAACTCCTGCACTCGACTTAACTATGACTTAAATGACTTAATCTCGAATGGCGATATCAGACTCAGTTTCTTACATAAATTTACAATAATTTAAATAACTGTAGCCCATATTATCTGCTACCGCGATTGAAACTACTTCATACTAAAGCGCAGAACAACTCGTTACCAAAGTTTATTGTTTGCTCTATTTAGTATAATATTTTATTATTTATTTATTTTAATGAACACCTAACTGAGATATTTTAAATGAAGGACCCTATATTTTACTGCGAAACTAACAAAAACTACAAAAAAACCATTCTAAAAAGTTGATTTTCGGAAAATATTCGTTATCTTAAAATATCAATTGTTTATATAAATTAAGCAAGTATAAATTTGAGTTAATTTTTTCTACAGAGAGACTTAAGGAGATATAAACAAATTATTGAGCAACATATATAAAATTATAAGACAAATTAAAACTTCACTTAAGTACATATCTTGTCCACCTTAAAAAGGGACACCCTGTATATTCCGATTTTGCCTTGGATTAACGGACTACCTAATCCTACCTGAGTTTATGGCAGACGCGGCGAGACACGCCAAAAGCAAAATCCTCAAAGCCATGGTCGGGACGATATACAGGAGAATCAGAAAATCCGAAATCACTGGAGAATCATCGTCACATTCACAAATTTTATCGCCACCGTTCACATTTTTTTCCACTCAAACATCGCATCGATAATGAAAATCCATGTATTATTCTCGCTGGAAACAATTCAATCAGTTTTCATAATTTTAAAAAAGGAAATTTTTCGAACTTCGCTGCGGATCTTCCGAATGACGGTCGCGGGTTTCGAATAAGCGCGGTCAGACCAGCAGTTCCGGGAACATCCCGATGAGTTTCGTCAGTTTCACGTAGGAGCTGGAATCCTGCAAACTGAGTGAAACGCCACCATAGCGCGGCGTTTGCCGAACGAAGCAGGGTTGTGACACGCGCATTCGTCTCGATCCATATATATGTATAGGGTACATATTGTATACATAAGTCCGGCGCTCCGGGTTCTGCGAACCGCGAATTTGTTTTACGTACGCGTTTTGTAATTTTTATGTATTTTTGTATTTCGCTGACAACGAGTAATGTCTGTTCTCCCTCCTTCACATGCATGGATTCTTGCTGCTGTCAGTCATTTGAACTCAATCAACATTTAGTGTCCTGGAAATCTTGTACAAGAGACAAATTTCGCACTAAATCAGACAAATTATGTGCAATACTTCGAAAATAAGGTTCCTTGTGCCGTTAACTTAGAAACTACGACCGATAAAACAATAACTTTCTATAAAACCTGGGGGAGAAACGTATCCTTGCTTCACCACCATCTAACGGGTTGATTTGTTGGGGGTGTAGACTGTATTATTGCGGGGCTGGTTTATTTTAAATGATAGCCGTTTAACATAACATCTCTCGGTAGAGGACAAATCTTTGTTATTGGTCTGGTTAGCTCGCCAGCAGGGGTTTTAAGTTTGACAACTCGAACCTTATCGTCGGAGCTTGTAATCACATCAATGATTCTCGAGAGTGACCACTTAAGGGGAGGCAATCCGTCCTCTTTTACTAGAACCATATCATTGGTTTTCAAGTTTTCACAAGATTGGAGCCATTTTGGGCGATTTTGCAATTGGTTAAGGTATTCAACCGACCATCGTTTCCAAAACTGTTGCTGCATTTTAGAGCATCTTTGCCAGAACGCAAGGCGATTTTCTGGCGTACTACTAAAGTCTCTATCAGGGAATGCGGTCATACTAGAGCCTATTAAAAAATGACCAAGGGTTAACGCTTCAAAGTCGCAGGGGTCATTGGAGATTGGACATAAGGGCCTTGAATTCATTATAGCTTCAATCTGAGCCAGGACAGTGTAAAGATGTTCGAAAGTCAATATTGAGTTTCCGACAATTCGCTTAATGTAGTACTTAGCACCTTTGATGGCACTTTCCCAAATGCCACCCAAGTGTGGAGAACTTGGATGATGAAGTTTAAATTATCCTCATTTTTGAAAAATTGATAAAGTTCCTTGAGATTGTTTCTAGATCCTTGGAAATTTGTAGCGTTATCACTGAATATTAAAGATGGATTTCCTCTCCGTGATATAAACCTTTTTAAAGTGAGTAAAACTGTCTGGGTCGATAGATCACTAACCAATTCGATGTGCACTGATTTAGTAACCATGCACACAAAAATGGCAATGTAAGTTTTAATGACAGGGGCTTTCTTGAGAGATGACGACTTAGCCATGATGGGACCTCCAAAATCGATTCCAACGCTTTGGAAAGGGCGAGATATTAGCAATCTGGCCTTGGGCAAGTTAGCCAAAATTTGCTGGGTAGTTTGAGCTCTAAAACGAAAACAAGTTTGGCAGCTTCTGATCACCTTTTATATTTCTCGAAGTGCATTTAACGGCCAAAATCGAAGCCGAAAATTGGACAAGACATTCTGTGGTCCAGCATGTCCCAAACGATTATGCTCTTGAATAAGCATGAGCTTGACGACATAATTTTTAGAAGGCAGCAGCGCAGGATGTTTCTGCTCATAAGGAATGTTAGCGTTTTCAAGTCTGCCGCCGACTCTCAGAATATCATTATCTAAAAATGGGTTCAATGATAAAATTTGTTTATTTGAAATCCGCTTACCAGATTTGATATCGAAGATTTCTTTGGAGAAGTTTTCTTCTTGAATAATAGTTATAATTCTTTCTAACGCACAATTCAATTCTTGTACCGAGAGGGGACCAGTGAGTTTATTTTGGTTTCGGGAATTGTGGACAAAGCGTAAACAATAGGCAAAAGTGTGACGCAATTTAGAGAATCGGGCGAATTTTGTGAATAATTGTTGCCAGAAGTTATTTACCGAAGATTTGCCTTGGACTAGTAAAGCGATTTTTCTTTCCTCGGGTAAATCAGATAATTTATAACCAATATCGAACTTTTCCTACTTTAACTCGGGATTTAATAAGAACTTGGGGCCATTCCTCCAAAGGTCGCATTTTAGAATGTCTTGAGGAGCTAAACCTCTAGAAGCGATATCAGCAGGATTATCTGCAGATTTGATATGTCTCCATCAGTAGCTTTGTGCCAACTCCTGAATTTGAGATACGCGACTGGCTACAAATACGTTCCACCTGCTGGCGTGTGATTTGCACCAACTTAGGGCAATTTGGGAATCTGTCCAGAGATTGACAGAAGCAACATCTAGTTTTTTAGAGTAAGCATTCACAATTCGCTCATTTAATTGGGCCAAGAGCAAAATGGCACATAGTTCTAACTTTGAAGTGACAGCGACTTGAGAGAAGCGACTCTGGATTTGGAAGACACAAGACGAACAGAGACTGTATTATCAAAATACATTACTCTAAAATAGATACAAGCAGCATAAGCTTTCAAACTAGCATCGGCGAAACCATGTATTTCAAAGATCTTGACGGGACTGTCTAAAAGGAGCGGTCTGGGTATATTGAGAAAATTAAGTTTACAGAGATTTTGACAGAAGTTGGCCCATTCATGGATTATCGATTCTTCTGTAACTTCAGAATCCCAATTCGATTTTTGAAGCCAAAGCTTCTGCATGACAATTATAACGGGGTTAACGAGACCGAGGGGGTCAAAGCACTGAGCTATCGTGGACAAAATTTTTCTTTTAGTTATTGGACCTTCCAAGGGGCTTTGCGGTGTCGAAATTAAAAAACAATCAGATGCAGAATTCCAAGTCAGACCGAGAATTTTGCTTGGGGAACCATCTAGATTCACGTTGCGAGTCAAATCTGATGCGTCAGGAATCTGATTAAGAAAACTCTTTGAATTTGAGGACCATTTATGTAACTTAAATCCGGACTCATTCAACAACATATTGAGTTCGTTGAACAAAATCCGCAGATCTTGCACACTATTACAGCCAGATAAAATATCGTCTACATAACATTGATTCAATAGTGTGTCAGTGCCCAATGGGAAGTTGTGACCAGAGTCACCAGAGTGGAGTAAAACCAGAAGGTTTTACTCCATAGGTCAATACCAAAAGCTCTAAACATTGAAAAGGGAGTGACAGTTTTTCATGCCAAAGGATGTTTTGCAAGAAGGTTTGTGTGGGATCAACTCTAACTTGTCTATACATTTTCTTTATATCACAAGTCAATACAAACTTAAAAATTCTGAATCTGCAAAGTATATCATAGAGTTCCGGTTGTACTTGATAACCTTTCATAGTTGTATCGTTTAGAGATATTCCAGAAGAAGTGGGACAAGAAGCGTCAAAAACGACTCTTAATTTAGTAGTCACACTCGAATCTTTCAAGACACACAAAGGAGGGATAAAATATTTATTGTGGCCTTCAGGGGTTTTTAGTGTTAAAGGGATTTTCCTAGCATGTCCTAGTTGGACAAATTCATCGATGAATTTTTTGTATTCTAAGAAGAGAGAGGGATCCTTTTCGAATCTTCTTTCTAAACTGGTGGCTAATAGAAAACTCGTTCTTGATGTCGATGCGTGTGAAAGAGATTGATTTTTCGGAGTTCTCACGTCAGAGGTTTGGGGCGAGTTCCTAGAGGTGCTCATAAATGTTTGTTGAAGAGAGGTTGAATTTCTAGAAGTTTGAGGCACAGGCTTGGCAGCGTTTGATATGTGCAAAAGGGTATGATGATTGGGTTTTTGACAGATAAAACATTCCTGCGTTGATGGACAATTTTCAGCAAAGTGTCTATTGCCCAAACAAATCGAACAAATATTATTTGATCTTACAAATTCCTGTTTTTTCAGACATCGGTATGTTTTTAAATCCGTAGCACGTATAAATACGATGACCTTCCTTGGTGCAATAGATACAGGAAATTTGATTTCTGGAATTCTGAGGGTTATTATTTGTATGTAAACTAGTTCTTTCATTTTTCTTTACGAATTTATTTTCGGAAGCGAATAAATTTTCGAGAACAACTCATTTTTGTCTTTAACCTCTTTCCTCCTCAAAAAGTTTCTTTGAAGTGTAGTCTAATTTTTTTTGGAATAAATTTATCAAAACTACTTCAAACAGTTGTCTATCAGACAAATCTAAATTTTTTAAAGTATTAATATTTTTCTTACAATTTACTACAAAGTCTCTTAAATTCTGCGCATTACATTTTGTTATAGTTGGCAAGTCTAATAGCGAGTTCAACAAATGGTTTGAAAGCAAACACTTATTTTCATATCTGTCCTTCAAAATTTTCAACGCGATTTCAAAATTTTCGTTCGTCACACTAAGGGAGTCTGTAAGTTTTAAACTTTCACCTTTCAAGTAGGATTTTAGGTACAAAAATCTTTGAATATCACTTATACTAGGGTTCTTAATAATTAGCGCATCAAACAGCTGATAAAAGGCCGTCCAATCACTTTGATTATTAGAAAACTGGTTGATTTTGATCTCTGGTAATTTAACAGACGGTATGTTTGACACAGAATTAGAATTTGTTAAGATATCCGAGGTTACAGCGGAATTGTTTAAATTAGGTGATAATTGTTCAATTACATTTTGAATTATTGATAAATGTTTAAAATATTTAGTTTCTACAGCGTCTCTATCCTCAGCATTATCTCTTTGATCAACAGATAACTCGAGTAAAAGCGTCTCGATGCAATTCTGAACATCATTATATTCCAAAAATAATTTTTCTAATTTTTCAGCGCGCAATTGAAATTCAAATTTATCTTTGATAACATCTTTGTTGGAGTTTACCCAGTTACAAATCCTAGTTATCGAGTTTTTTAAATGAGTTCTTTGATTTTTTAAATCTTCCAGCGATTTGGTAGACATTTTAAAAGTATTCACTTAAACTGATTTTTCAAAACAGCGAAATGAACATACAAATTTTTACCGCTACAGTTGTATATAACTATGCTTTACTAA